CAATGTAAATAAATGATATCCCTACGTTATGGTACGATTTGTTTATTACGGTGAGGTACACAGTCAGACACATGCATTAATTTAATAAGAAATAAGAGAGATATATTCATTACATATTTAATAAAAATGTGCATGTGTGAAGAAAATAACTGATATGCTTAACAAATCTAGAGAATTTCATCCTTTAATACTATAGAATTAACTATAGGTCTGAATAAATAAACAAATGCATAAATAGATTTCTTACCAATAATAAAAATAGTGTAATAATTAAATTTAGAAATGTTTGTAGATTATATATATATAGGTATATATATTCACACTGATTTCAATAGCAGATAGGTTATTATAAATTCCATTGGTACTGATCTTATTACTTTCCTGAAAAAATGTTTTGAGGTTATGATATACCACCATTGGCATGCCATCGGGTCTGTGGTCATTGTGGCCCCGGGGTCTGTGGCCCCCTCTGCAGCAGGCGTCCCTTATTTTTCTGCATTAAAGGTGGCAATCCTAGTCACACCATGGTGAGTCCTAATGGAACAGCGGAGCTGGAAGACCCGCTGCAGGTTACTGGTCAGTGAATGTTTCAACAGCAACGGAAAGCCAGTTGTGTGTGTGTGAGTGTATGAGACAAGGACGTGTCTGTGTGTCGGCGTTGCGCGGCTGTTGTAAGGTAACGTTATGTGAATGGAAACATCCAACATGCTAACGCAAATTAAACTGACTTCAACCCGATACATCGATCACGGGAACAAGGAAAAAACGGAGCCCAACTTCTTATCCCCGCTGCTTTCAAGCCAGTACTATATACCGTAAAACTCTGAATAATAGCCCAGGCTTTTATTTGCTAAAATCACTGAATTGACCCTGCCTTCATTTGGGACAGGCATCCATATGGAACAGGCCTTTAATTCTTTTTGCACAAAACTAAAACTACTATGAAACAGTTCATTTATTTCAAACAGAATAATACTTATGTAAAAATGATTAAATATATCAAATACACGTCATTCATTTAATCTAGCTCCGACAGATGGCTTATGCGCTTTTATTTTGAAGGCCGCAACCTCACGACAACAACACGGTGCAGGATAAGAGAAGTTAGCAAACAGAGAGCGATGGGCTTCACATGGCAGGATTCACAACTTGGATTATTTTTTATGAAAAGCTGTTTTGATTCTTTTGATGAGTGGACCCTTACAGACTAAAGGAATATAAATAATCAAGGAACGCACACATTCGGACTTAACGAGCGCTTTAAAGTTAACATGAGTCAGCACTTCCCCCCCCCTTTTCCTCTCTTGTAGCCATGCAGGTTACACCGGTAAATCTAGAAGAATTAGACTTTGGGTCTTGTTGTTTCCGTTAAATGAACTTAACAGTGGTATTGTGGAGAATCTAACCGGTCTAACAATGTGCAGCAAGTCCATACTGACATATTGATCATACCTTTAAACATTAATAGCTTATTTGTATTAAGGATCTAAGCAGCTTAGAAGCAGGTAAAGCGGCGTCCCCGCAGGGTTTAAGAGGTTTTATACATCCAAAGAACTTCCATAAAAACCAGACCAGGCGTTTAATTAAGGCAGGCATTTATTTGTTAAAATGTGTCCCCACACCAGGCCAGTAAAGGAAGCAGGCGGCTGTTTGGGACTCGGCTGTTAATTGAAGTTTTACGGTAATACTATATTTCAAGCAGCCTTTAAAATGCAAACACAGAATAGAATGAATAATCAATGAAGCATTTGGCATATTATATTACATTACATTACCTTATCTAGCCAAGGTGTAACTAATTGCAAAAACTCATACCACACAATTTGTTGGTATTTTTTATTTCACCCCTTAAGAGTTCTTAGTGCACAAATATTATTCATTTCATAGGTGTCATTTACACTGTGGATACTGGGGACATGTCTTCATCACTTTTTTAAAAGCATTTGTTAAATGTGTTTTGAAAATGGCTTGCAACAAGAAATGTTTAAAAAAACAAATTTTTCAGAACATTTTAATAGATGCTTTCAAAAAGTGATGGGGACAAGTTCAGCCATTCAAAATGTGGTGGGGACATGTCCAGTGTAAATGACACCTATGTTTAAGGTTAGGAAAAGGTCATGGTTTGGGTTAAAATAAGTATGTATGTCAGTTAACATGTAAGTTAACTAACGTTACTTGCCAAACTTACGCAATTCACATTACTTGCCTAACTTAAATAAAAATATTTAATGTTTTCTGACTTTTTGTTTCACACGGGACACAAACACTGCTCTCCTGGTTCAAAGTCCAGGTTCTGGCCTCTCATCCACCCCAACCACCTCCTTACTCAGTCTAAAATATTATATCCCTTCCTTTACCCTCAAAAACTGACGCTGCAGGGCTTACCCCACTGCGTCGAACTATGCCGCTATAGGGATCCCCAGAGCGTTACAAACTGACGAAGATGGGTCTTGACCAAGCATCCATATGTGACCGGTCTGGGAGTGAGAAAGGGTTGGCAATAAATGATTGTTTAGCTTTTTGGGTTGTCATTTTTTATAGCTTTATCGTTGCATCTATGCATCAATTTCACTTGACATGAAAGTGATTTAAACTGGAAACAATCATTTAAATGCAGGTTTAACAGACAATGTAGCTTTATTTTTTTTCATGAAACTTTACACGTCTGATGGAGGACTCTTTTAGAGATATTAAGAACAGAGTGTGGGTTCATAAAAAGTATTACCATTTCTTAAATTGTACAAATATTCATTCATTAATATTCATTTGTTCCAAATATTAAAACCACAATACAATTATTTCAAGATAAGCATTGTCTAGCATTATCTTGAACAGACATCAGGGGACTAATCTATAGATACTCTACAATTAAATTAAGTTGAATTTGATAAACACATGGAAAGCATTTAAGCTGTTTAATTTAAGAATTTTCCATAGTATAATTCCTGATTTAGACAATAAGCATTTGTTAAAATAGTACATTTTGCAATTTACGATTAAAAACCTGAGATGTAATTATATGTAAGAAATGCAACAATGCAAGTATTTTATAGGGTTTGGTTAGTTGTGATAATAACAAATGAGCAATTGAGCTAAGATTAAAGAAAAAAGAACTAATGTAAACACAAAATGAAACATTATGTAAAGTTCAGATTAAATGCTTAAAATTATAAACAGATAAACAATATCAACATTTAATTTGAGAGTACACACTGTCCTCAGCAATGTCTCTCTTCTTTCTTCCTCTTGTTTTTTTCTCAGAGAAATTCAGTGCAGCATAGTTAATTGGTTGTCAGCTTCAGTCTGTGCAGAAAATAAAATTATTATCATTATATATTTATGTTACATATGCGTATACACACACACACACACACACACACACACACACACAGGTGCATCTAAAATCATGGAAAAGTTCATTTCTTTCTGTAATTTCATTCAAAAAGGGAACCTTTCATATGTTCTAGACTCATTATACATAGTGAAAGTGAAGTGAAATATTTCAAGCCTTTTTTTGTTTTATCATGATAGATTATGGTTTACAGCTCATGTAAAGTGTCTCAAAATATTAATGCAACCTGAGAAGAATCTAAATTAGCTCAAAACATCTGCAAAGGTTTCCTGAGTTTTTAATCTCTGTCTGGTTCACTATACACAACCACAATCATGGGGAAGACTTCTGACTTGACAGTTTTCCAAAATATATCAGCATCAGAGTCTGGAGGATGAGTGTACAGGCACAGAATCCAAGTTGCTTGAAGTCCAGTGTGAAGTTTCCAGTCAGCAATGGTTTGGGGTGCCATATCATCTGCTGGTGTTGGTCCACTGTGTTTTATCAAGCCCAGAGTGAATGTGGCCATCTACAAGGAGATTTTAGAAAACTTCATGCTTCCACCTGCTGACAAGCTTTATAGAGATGCTGATTTCCTTTTCCAGCAGGACTTGGCACCTGCCCACAGTGCCAAAACGGTAACTAGTTGGCTGACCATGGTATTACTGTGCTTGATTGGCCAGCCAACGTGCCTGACCTGAACCCCCTAGAGAATCTATGTGGTATTCTCATAAGGAAAATGAGAGACACCAGACCCAACAGTGCAGATGAGCTGAAGGCCGCTAACAAAGCAACTGGGCCGCAGAAATCAATGCAAACGGAGCCCTGACCACTTACTACATACTTTTCAGAAGGTCAACATTCTGTATTATAAAAATGTTTTATTTTATTTATTTATCAAATTTATTTTTTAACCTGTCCTGCCCGACAGCCTGGTGTGAGTATGAGGAGCTGGATACCATATTGTACCAGACAGATTTTACTTTAACAAGAGAGTATTAATATACTCCTTTGTCTGTGTTGTTGTTGTTTATTCAAATTTATTGTCACCGGGTCAGACAGGTTACAGACATGGGGATGGGGAATAGAAATACCACATAAACAGACAGCACAGAGAGAAGGCAACACCTGCGAGAGAACAGGGAGGGGGGCTTGGGGCAGAGAAAAACAAACAACAAACAAAAAACAAACAAAAACAAAGAGACAACCAGCCGAACAGCAGCAATAAACAGATGACATAGGAAGAGAATTGAGAGAGAAATGAAAACAAGAAAAAACATACAACACAGCACCACCGTGAGAGCTGAAATAATAACAATTAATTTAAATAAGTAATTGAATGAAAAACATCAAGAATAATTCTACCAGAGAGAGTTGTTGTGTGTGTGTCTATATGTGAGACTGTATGTGTCTGAGTGCGTGTGGGTGAGAGTGTCTGTATGTGTATGTGTGTGTATATGTTTGTGTACATAAGCCTGTTACAGAATGTAGTTCATAGTGAGAGTGGGATGCCACAACCGCCCTACACCGACTCCAGCGACAGGCAGTGGGGCCCCCAGTAGCCAATAGGGGTGGGAGAGAACTTAACTCTCAGACGAATTGTGACGCAAAAGCAGAAGACCAACAAATGCCAAAGACATTGACCATCCAAATGCCAGTTGACAACGCAATGCCGTCGGAAAGCAAAAGGCGGAACCTGCAGAAGAGCGGCACCCAGACCGACCGCGGTGCACACAACAGAGGCCAGTGCCACCCCGCGACCGGCACCCCACCGCCGCGAAACAGGCAACCAAACCGCCAAAATGTCACGCAGTCATCAACATCAGTGCGCAAGTGACGACCCCAACCTGCACACCGCACGAACACAGTGACACCCACCGCCCGGCAGGCCCCCGCGTATCCTGCACGCGAGAAAGCAAGTGGCAGAACACAATGGCTAAAGCCAGCAAAGAGTCCACGCTCGGCAGCAAGGGCCATGGTGCACCCGCCGTTAAAAGTCCACGCCCCCCCCCCCAACCGCCGGAAAAGCAGGGGGCCACCAGCGTCAGCCCAACATCCCTCATGCACAGCACGCCCTCTGCCGCCATGCAACGCCAACCAAACCAGCAACGATGCAACAACCAACCACCCCAGTCCCCCAGCCCAGCCGGAGGCATCCCCCCCCAGAGTGCAGGCAGAGCCAGCAGCCCCTGAGCTCCGTAGACCCGAGGCCTGTCCCGGCCCCGTATGGGGGCCCAGCCCCCCCAGTCAACCATCTGCAAAGGAAGAGGTCCAAAACCCACCCCGACAACACCGGCCATGTGCCCCAGGGATTCCCAAATGCCCCCACTGTGAGAGCAAGAGCCCCTCGAGCCCCAGAGCCAGCGTCAATCCCGCCCAGCCCCAGGACGGGTCCAAGTTGGCCCAGCCCCCCAACGCGCAGACCCGCCCCAGGCCCATACCTGACGCTCCCAACAAGCACGCAAGCCAGCCGCGACACACAGGTGAGCCAACCAACATCACCCCGCTACAAATCTAACCAATGCCACACAACAGCCTAATAACGCGCTGCCAGCTGGCGCCAACCGCCGCCCCTGCGCCCAGCCAACACCACGGCATCAATCAACATTCAAAAAAATCAATCCCCCGACACCAGTCAATCAGGCCAGAATGCCCCAAGTCCGCACCGTGACACATCCAAGAGCTGACCACCACAAAGTGATAAAGTTGATCAGTTTTTTTTTATAGCAGACATTCTCTCCATGCTAATGTGGTCTGTAAGGAGATTCCTATATTGGGTGATACTTAAATTCTTTTTGGCCTTCCAGTTCATGAGGATAGTTTTCTGGGTGATGCATAAGGCAGTGAGAAGCATGTATGATGTGTCAACCTCTATACTAATGTCTCTTAGGTCCCCCAGCACGCAGAGTGAAACTGGGATGGGGTAAATTATAATATTTTAAGACTCTATATTTTTGATTTCAGTAAGCTCTAAGCTGTAATCAAGATTAAAAACAGGCTTGAAATATTTCACTTTAGTGTGTAATCAATCTAGAATATATGAAAGTTTCATTTTATGAGATGCACCTATATATAGTGACATAAATACATGGTTCCTTTCAAAGTATTTAAAGCAATTATAATAAAATGCATTTGGTATTATCACTTACAGTGTCATGTGCTGGTTGGCATGAGTTGTCATGTTGTGCTTCTGAAACAGCGCTTTCCATTCCTAAAGATGAACATGATAATAAATATTGGTAGAGAAATGCACTTAATCAGACTTTTCAGTAAGAGTACACTGGTATAAACTACAAATCCAAAGACTGGAAATTAATTATTCAGATAAAATGTAGCGGCTGAGTTTAATGAGGTACACAAAAGAACAACAAACACTAAGGAGACTGTTTTTCTTTAGAATGTATACTATTATTAATCAGCTCATTAATTATATTCAAAAAGTCTGATCATTTTACTCTGGAACGTGTATTGTAAAGATTTATCTGATCTTGTACATAAAATGCATAAACACATTTAATCTTACATGTCAAGGTGACAAGAGAATTTTCATTTTTGCAATTATTTTTCTTGTTCCGAGCACTCACCTTCATATTGTTTGTGTACTTTTCGTTTGCAGATGAGGACAACATTCCCAGCAACAGAAATGACCAAGCAGACAATTAATATTGCAATGAATATTGAATGTGGTGTTTGCACTAGAAAACCAACAAAGACACTTATCAATCATACTGTTATAACATATTTTGAGAATTACTTCCATCATTGAACACCAAGTCATACCAATTTCCACTTTAGTTCCATCTCCGAATAATATCTCCCCACATGTGGCCACAGCACAGTAGTAAGTCCCAGCATCAGAGGAGCTGATGTTCTTAGAGAAGCGATAAACACAGCTTTTCTGAGAGCCAGATCTCTTGTCACATTTATCATGTCCATTTCCATCAGTGTAGATGATGTCTGGATGAGAATGATCTGATCCGGCTCTGAACCAGTACACACTGTGATCTCCTGGACACGTCTTATTGTCAGAGTCAGAGAGGACTGAACACTGGAGAGTCATCGAGTCTCCAGGACGGTCTGGATCAGATACTGTCGGCCCATGAATGACCGTATAGTTTGATGTCCTCTGAGTGTTTCCTGTGTGATACCAAACTGTTAAAAATGTAATTTGCTTAATGACAGTTTAACACTTTGTAAAAGTAGATCACACTATTACCTTTTACTAACAGATATGTTCCACTCCATTTAAGATTAGCCAATGGTATTGTACAGTGATACATTCCCTCATCCTCTTGAATTATCCTCAGAATGGTCAGATTGCTAGAATTCTATCAGTGTTTACCGTAAATTTTGATTCAGAAAATTCAGTTGTATACTGACGGTTTTTTTCCCACACTGTCGTAATTAATTTCAGAGTATCCCCGGCACGCTGCTTGTACCACTTGTGCTCAAAATTGCTCCACTTTTCATCAGGAAAAACACAAGTGAAGGTCGCAGATTCACCAACTTGAACGGTGGTCACTGGAACCAACGTATCTGAATAAAATTAAAACATGCAATATATAAAATAACAGTGTACATGTAAATGTTATGATGCAAGAAGATGCAGTCGGCATGTACATTCTTAATAATAAAATAACACTTACATCCTTGATGAAGAAGAAGCAGCGTAACCCATAACAGGATCATCTTGCCAATGTCTCTAGTTAAGAAACTTGTAGGTATTTCAGTGAGTGAAGGAGGTGAGATGGTCGTGACACATCAGACCATTAGATGCATCTCATTGGTTTTCACAGAATATGCAAAGAGCACTTCCTGCCACATTGTTGTCATCCTGGTCTTTGTGCATATTACCTCTCTTTCATCCTTCATAGCCAATGTTGAGATTGTTTGGACAAAGAAAAAAAGCACCCCCCACCACCAATCCACAACCTGGAGGTATATATATGAGTGTATTTGTATAATATTCTTACATTAAATAAAAAATAATAATTTCATAGTATAGGCTACTGTTATATACAGTATATAGTTTAGCACTAGCAAAGACCAAATATTAATTCCATTTACAGCAGATTCAGTTTTGTGGGTTGTTTTCATTCATGAAATCCTTGTGCAAGAAAAACAGTCTGCCTTGGTCTCTAATTTATTAATGCTAAGTACCAACTTGCCAATAATCATATGCGAGTGAAGTACTCTGAAGAGCTCTGCATCATCTTTCCTGGACCAGCAGAGTGAGGATCTGCTGTTGAGCAAATGTGTTGATAATGTGTTGATCACTAAAACGATAAAATCATTCCCTAATCAGAAGGCCTGGATGAATGGAGAGGTGAGGATCCAGAGTCAAAAAAGCTGCTTTCGTTTGAGTGATAAAGAAGCTTATAGCACCACCAGAGCGAGAGTGAAAGCTGGCATCAAGGAGGAAAATCTGAGACATCAGCAGAGACCGGAGAGAGACCTCAACACAACAACACCAAAGATATGTGTCAGGCCATCAAAAACATCACAGGCTACAAAAGCAGGTGCTTCCCCCATTATGTGCGAGGCCACATTACCAGATGAACTCTTTTTATGTCTCTTTTTTAAAAAAACCTGTCCTGCCTGGCAGCCTGGTATAGAGTATGATGAACTGGATACCATATTGTGCCAGACAGATTTTACTTTAACAAGAGAGTGTTAATATACTCCTTTGTCTGTTTTGTTATTTATTCAAACCGGGCCGGACAGGGGACAGACAAAAGTTTGTCTGGGGAGGGTGAACTGATCATTCTAAAGACTGAAACCACCTTCTGTGGTTTTATAAAGCGGTTACCATGTCTGGCTAAAAGAAAGTAGACTAACAGACACACTACAATTAGATTTTGACATTTCTTTATGAATACAAAAAGTAGTTCCACCTGGCTGCCAGTGGGCTATGACGGTTGCTAAGCATCATACATCTATTTAGGCTATTTATATTTATTTGCACGTTGCCGTTTACTGTGCAGCCACTAAAATACTGTCCAGGGTCAGTGAATAGACTTTGGTAACTTGAACTTAGATGATAATATGCTTGGTGCCGGCCAGCAGTGCGTAAATAATAACACTTATTATATTAGGCCTATACCTACCATAAAGAGCGGAACTGCGTCTCTCCTTTGTCTTTGATGGCTATTTCAGGCTATTGAAACTCAAACTTTGTTGCAATATCGCAGACATCTGGGGCAAGTAGTGGACTGCTGTGTGTGTGTTTGTGCATTTTCATGTGTGAGAGAGAGGAAAATTTTGAATCACATAATAAGCAATCATTTTTCTCTGTCTCCGTCTCTCTCTCTCTTTCATTATTTATTTATCTCTAAAATGCTATCTGTAGCCTATCAGATCTGTATCATATCGCATTTTAATACCAGGTGGTAGGTGTGTGAGACCCCCACGAAGCTCAGATTATAACTCGAACCCCGTTTGTAGCGCAGTGATACTGATCTGTGCAAAGGAATTTGACGCCATTGTATACGCACTTTATACTACTACGAACCAATCAGATCGCTTGATTTGAGCTACCCATTTTATAAGAGTAGTTATCTCACAATGCACACACAACGCCATTATGTCAAGCTTTTTTTTTCATTTAAAAAAAAAAGATTTTAAAAACACTGCAACCACGAAATAAAAACATCCAGTACATGCAATTAATTACAGGCCTAAAACCATGGTCTCATTTGATGTGATTGCCTTGTTCACATGCATCCCCACCATGGAGGCAGTAGAAACCGTAAGGACACAATTGCTAAAAGACAACACCCAGAGCAACAGAACTAGCCTCAGTCTGGACCAGATCTGTAAACTACTAGACCTCTGCCTAAACACCACCTATTTCCAGTGCAATGGAGGATTCTACAGACAGAAACATTGCGGTGCCAAGGACTCACTAGCAGCCCTGGGGCCGTATTACAGAAACTTCCTAACTGGCAGATCCTATCCTAACTGCTTGGTAACCGTGGTAATAAGGGTTAGGAACTGATTTAGGAAAAAGGCCATTACAGATTAACAGTTCCGATGTCAATATTCCTTTCCTAACTTTAGATAAGAAAAGTGTATTACAGAAGCATCCTAACTTCGTAAAATCTTAAATAAACTAACTTTAGGAGAACTGTTGAGCTGTCCTAACTTTTACATTTCCACCAGGTAGTGTTTGCTAACTCGTTTAATCCACATGGCTGCTCTTTAATTGCTTTTACAAAATCAACAAATTGTCAACAGGTGGAACTTAATTGATTCTACCGATGTTTCTGATGACAAAACCCTCGTTAGTAGAAAGGCTGTAGGCGATGTTACGCTAGATAATGTCTCATTCTATAACATAATGTAAAGGCTTTATGTAACAAAAGGATCCTAATGCAAGTCTTTGATAAGAGGAGATGACGTTAGCCCGCAGCCTTTATTATGATTATTAGCATATTTTTCTTAGATTCACTCAGATTAAGATTCACTTTATTAGCCATTTGCAGTATAAAACCACATTGGAAAAGAATATGCAAGAAG